AGGAGGAGGAGGAGGCAGGCTCCATGGTGAAGGACTGGAGAGAGGGTTCTGGAAGGTGCAGGGCCTCATGATCTGTGGAGGAGGAGGAGGAGGCATGCTCCATGGTGAAGGACTGGATAGAGAGTTCTGGAAGGTGCAGGGCCTCATGATCTGTGGAGGAGGAGGAGGAGGCAGGCTCCATGGTGAAGGACTGGAGACAGCGAGCAAGCCTCGGAAGGTGCAGGGCCTCATGATGTGGTGCAGCGCCAGCTACTGCAAGGACAGCCAGGCGTCCACACAGCAGGGCACCCAGGCATCCAGCACTGCCACGTGCCTCTGGCACAAGCCCAGGCCTTGGTGACTGATGAGTCAGAGAAGTCCCCTGACCGCCTGGCTGGGTGCACCTGCATTGCAATGACAGCCAGATTTCCCAGATGCAGGGGGCGAGGGGCTACAGGTGAAGCAGCAGCTGCCAGCCACATGACCACAGGTGCGGACCACCTCATGGGCCTCATCCCAACTGTGACCATAAAGATGAAGGAGTCTTTCTCTTCTGCTGGGAAGTAAGTCTCTGCTTGTGGTCCTTGGAGCTGAGGGCAAGAATCTGTTAAGGAATGGCAGAATCTCAGCTGACTGAAACCTCAGCCTCCCAGGTTCAAGCAAGTCTCCTGCCTCGGTCTCCCTAGTAGCTGAGATTACAGGTGCGCACCAGCACGCCTGGCTGTTTTGTATTTTTAGTAGAGACGGGTTCACGATGTTGGCTGGACTGGTCCCCAACTCCTGACCTCAAGTGATCCACCCGCCTCAGCCTCCCAAAGTGCTGGGATGACAGGCACGAACCACCATGCCAGCTGGGAATCTTAGTCTTTCAAGCAACATTTATGAAGGAAGAAATTAGGGATGGCAGCAAGTGTAAGGGGAATGTCACTGGCGTCTGGACGCTGGTTCCTGTACGATGCAATTCTAAAAAGCTGGCACTGAAATGCAGGTCGGAGCTCGCACAGGAGAGCGTTCTGGAGCCAAGTTTCCTGAGGCAGGTGCTTGTCCTGGCAGAGCAGGGGCCCTCTGAGGTGCCCAGCTCTTACTGCATAGGCACCAACAGGCTGGCCAGTGAGAGCGGATGGGGTAGGTGTTTCTGTTTGTTGCCAACCTCCATTTACTGGGAGTGTCACCACACCATTCTCCATAAACTGTGAAGCAAAAGTCACAAGGTCTCTAATTTAGAAGGGGGCAGACCCAGGTTTCTGGGTTTTTGTTTTCTTGGCTTTGTGTTATGCATGCCAGGGGTAAAGTGGATTTTAAGGTGTGGAAGTAGCAGGGAGAGTGGTCTGGCTGAGAACTCTGAAGCTTCCTTGTGGATCCCGTTTTCTGGCCATCAGGATGTGGAGGTACATTTCTTAAAATTCTCACACGCTGCATCCTTCAGCCTGCAGACCCTGCGGAGACATGACAGGCGATGCCACGGTGGTTATGCAGCTGAGCATCCTCTGACGGGCCTGCCGCCATGCAGCGGCAGAACCACGCAGTTCCCGGAGGAGAAGGGGGTTTTGACTGCGAAATATTCCAGTGTCCAGGGCGAACACTGAGGGAGGAGCCGCTGGCCACTTGGTGACGGGAGCTGTGAGGCCCTGGATTTGGGAAAACCTGCCTTTCGCAGAGCAGGACGGGATGGAAGCCTAAACCCGGCATTGCTTAATTGATTGCCCTGAATTAACAGAGGCCCCGGGAGAGAATCCCCGGCAACAGCAAGTCCAGGGGGAAAGAGGGAGCCCTGGGGCTGGGAGGGGCCGGGGCCTCCGCGTTGGAGCGGAGGCGGCGCGGCGCACGTGGGCCGAGCTGCTCCCTGCGGGGTCAGCCAGTCTCCGTCCCGCTCACACCACAGACAGCGTCAGCGCGATCATGGAAGTTTCCAGAAGACAACGGGGCAGAGCTAGGAGATCCGGGAGGAAAGATGTCTTAGGAGAAAAGCTCTCCCCACGTGGACAGGACGGATGGGTTGGGCCGTGTGGTGTCCACCAGGAGGGCGGGAGGCGGCGTCCAGAAGGGCCCGGGCAGGGCGGCCGGACGCGCAGTGGGATCCCAGAGAGAGACGCAGCCAGGCCGCACGCACGCACGCAGTTACGCACGCCCGTACGCACGCAGTTACGCACGCCCGTTCGCACGCAGTTACGCACGCCCGTTCGCACGCAGCCGCGCACGCATGCAGCCACGCAAACACGTGCACACACAGCCATGCACGCACGCAGCCGCGCACGCAGCCACGTACGCCCGTACGCACGCAGCCACGCATGCACATCCACAGCCATGCACGCAGGCTGCCCGCGTGCACCCACGCATGCACGTATCACGTAGCCACGCACGCACGCCGCCAGGCACGCACCGACGCACCGTCACACGCACGCGCGCCCACACGTCGCTGACTCTCCACGTATGGAAGGTGCTCGTTCTTATGGTTCGTGACGTGGGAACTGAAACCGCAGAGAGAAACATGGCGCATCCACCGCAGCGACTGAAAGACCGAGGGGGAGAAGGGCAAACATCCAGCATTGGCCGGAAGCCGCAGCCCTGGAGCGTCCGTGCGCGGCCATGCCCGAGTATGTCGGTGCAGTTGCCTTGGAGGCCGTCGGGGTTAACCGGCGGCTCAGCCTTCCCGGCTGGGGAGGCCTCGGCCTGTGCGCGGCTCCACGGAGCGGGTGCCGTGTGTGTGTGTGTGTGTGTGTG